TAATGGTTCTTGTAACAGTGATTATACTGTTAGGAGTCAACATTATGCTTTTTTTCTTTATTGTGTGGTATGTGGTTAATTTTGACTTTTTGGGCTGCTTAGTGGAGAATCTGCCTCTGCTTTCTTTTATTGGTGTTGGAGGTAATGGTTTCTGTCATTTCTTATTTGAGTACAAGAATGCAAGTCAATAAAATGTAGTTAGATTATAACTACTTCAAAAATCTAAAAGAAAATATATATTAATTTAAGTGTGAAAATAAAATAAAAAGTTAAGATTTATATCTCTTATATAATAATTTAAAAATATTAAACAAACATCACAGAATAAATTATTTGAAGGAAATACGAGAAATAAAAAAAATAAAAAAAATATAAAGTATCTAGCATCTACTTGTAGTTTTCTTGCGGATCGGACTCGAAAATCAGGTTTTCTTGATTTGAAATAGTTAAATAAGGAATGAGTTACACTAATCCAGTAAGGATATTACATTATATTACTGTTACAGAAGTAAAAGTTGATAGAAAATTAAAATAACTAATAGAGCAATAAATTTAAACTAATATATTTATTTAAAATAAAATTATTTATCCATTTACTTACTATTGAGGAATTCATGAAAACAAATTATAAAATTAATAATATTATACATATTATAATTTTATGCATAATCAACCATCACGGTACATATTATAAATCTATATCCATTAACAATAGACGAATTCGTAACCGTTTCTCGTTTCACCAGTTTACTAGTATTCATAGAGATCTATAGGGGTGTCCTTGCTACACGCGAACTTTTTTTCTTAACAGTCTTAATTATATAACCGTATCCGTACCCCGTCCGATATGAGCACCAAGACATTAAACCTCAATATCCCGGTCGGTATGAGGATGAAGCGGACCGTCTTCATACCCCGTTCGATATGAGCGCCAAATTACCAAGTCTCCATACCCCGACCGGTATGAGACAATATTCACGGTAGAGTTCCCTATGAACCTGGTCTGTCTGCCATCTTCCAAGATATCTAGTGAGACTGTCATCTTATCTGTTTATTAGATCACACCCCTTTCCTGTTTTTCCTTAGTCTCCGTTACCAAATTAAACGCAATCACATAAACAATGAATATGCACCCGGTAATGCAATCATATCTTAAATTCCAAAATCACACAGTAATCAAGTAAGCAGTGATACATGCATTTAAAACCATAGAATAGATAAACCATATACCATAATATATTTAAACTGTAAAATAAATCAAACAGGAATCAACAAAGAATAATGTCTGGTTCGGGCTTCATTAGCAATCCGTAATTAATTATGCATATCTATTTAATTTGTACAAAATACAGTATTATCATTTATTCAAACTTCAATTTCATGATAGGAATAGGGTGAGGGGTCCTTACTTGATTCGACGCCGAAAGCTAAGTGGTTACTGCACCTACGGGCGGTCCTTGGGTTCCATAAATTTTTCTTCGGGAACTGAAACGCCCTTATAGTACTTACAACTGTCCCAAAAAAACCCAAAAATTAGTCCCAGGGCATACTCGACCAATTTCAAAAATATGGCACGGCGGCTCCGCCGCGCTCCGGCGACGATCCGCCGTGCTCCGGCGACGATCCGCCTCGGGTTGGCTATTTTCGGCCGAATTCAGCTAATTTGCATCGGTTCCTGCGAGAAAACACACTTAGGGCCCTCGGTGGATCGAAAAAATGTAGAAAACTGAAACTCATCGGCGCTGGGGCTCTCCAGTGCGGTGGCTCCTCCTGCTCACGTTACAGTTGGGTGTTTTGCTCTGATCAACCTGTAGAGAAGGAAACGGTGATCACAACGATAGAAA